TAATGTAGAGGTTCCTTCTTACACTGCAGAGCTGGCTGTCAGTGTTATAATAGTACCGATTTTCCTTCTCTTAATTAACTATCAAGGTTTTTTTCCAATTGCTTGTACTCTGTAGTCTGGTGACTTAGCTCAGAGCCAGGAGGGCTGTCACCCAAAGCATAATAAAGCACTGTGCAGAAGTGCGTCACAAGACTGTTTTTGCATAGGGCTTGGTTAAGGCTTTTGGAACCGCCCTCAGTTGCACCTTGTTCTATATTAGTCCTTCTCAGACAGGAAGAATTTTCTTTCGCTTGTGTAGCCCGTCCGGTTACCTTCAGGGTAAGTGTGTGCATTTCATGTAAACATGAGTTTCTTGTGTTTAACTTTTTATATGATACTTTTTTGATTCTTTATCTTGTTGAAAATTTGGGGCATTTAAAAATTCAAATTAGGAAATAAAAGTAGAACAATCCATTGTAGTATAAAACTATAGTTTGCAAAGATCTGAATGTATAAAAGTTTCAAGTGTCTTGGGCTTAGAAATTACATTTTATGCATTCTAAGAAGTTTCTTGTTTGACATTTTGATGTTAGGAGGAAGCAAAATACCCGAAGGAGTGTTTCAAAGTTGGGGGGAAAAGATCCAATTTTGCTTTTCATTCATTTGCTCTGTGATTTGGTTTTGATGGTAGCTACATGCTTTGTGTCACTAGGATTAGGAATAGTTTATTTTGGCTTAGAATAATAATTAGTTTTTGTTGTGTGCCTCTGAGCCTTACCTCAGGGTATTATAGACTGAGATTACACTGATATATTTTATAAGTTGATAAAAGTTGTATTGCTGATGTAACAATTTGAATATTGAGAATTAAGATTCATACATGGGGCTGAGGATGTACCTCAGTGGTATAGCACTGTGGGTTTGATCCCCAGCACTGCTGTCTGCCCCCGCCCAAAAAAAGTAAACAATGTTCTCAAGATTCAAATATGTATATTACAGTAAAAGTCTCAGACAGTATGCTAAGTTATATTTAAATAATTGAATTCTCCAAGTTTTACAAAGCTTTCCCCCCCCCCCCACTTTATTTTTTTAAAATATTTATTTCTTTTAGTCATACACAATGCCTTTATTTTTATTTGTTTATTTTTATGTGATGCTGAGAATCGAACCCAGGGCCTTGCACATACCAGGCAAGAGCTCTACTGCTAAGCCATAACCCCAGCCCCATCTTTCCCCCCCCCAACTTTAAATCAGAAAAATTAAATCTGCAGCAGGCCATTTCATAAAGTAGTTAGTTTTTTGTTTTTTGTTTTTTTTGGTGGTACTAGGGATCGAACCCAGGATCTTCCACATGTTAGATGAGTGCTCTACCAACGGAGCTATACCCTCAGCCCTTTGCTCGGTTGTATTACCCAAGCTCCGCATCTGTGGACAGAGCTTGCCATCTGTGCTATTGTTCTAGGACAAAGTCAAGGGCAGAAGAACTCAAGGGTGCCTCAAGGGTCATCAGTATCAGTTACTTAATTTCTACCTGTCCTGGTTTATTCATCTTGAAAACTGCCATTGGGTGTTAGAATTAATGAGAGCAGGAAGGATAAAGGAATGCATTCTCAGCTCTGATATTGTCTATTTTCACAAGTATCTAAAATTCTGACTGATCTGTTTTTACCAAGATAATTTGTATGAATTGCTAATTTTTATTTATTTTAATATTTATTTTTTAGTTGTAGTTAGACACGATACCTTTATTTTATTTATTTTTATGTGGTGCTGAGGATCGAACCCAGGGCCTTGCATGTGCTAGATGAGGGCTCTACCACTGAGCCACAACCCCAGTCCAGAATTGCTAATTTTTAAATAAATAACCTTTGAAATTTGTTTCTTATTCTCTTTCCTCCTCTATTATCCCTTTTATTCAGTTTCATTTTTGTGTTATATCTATTGAGTAAGTTTCACTTTCCCGTTTGTGCAATCTTTTTCATTGCTGAATTAAAATTCTCAGGGAGAATTATTGAAATACCACAAAATGATTCTAACCTTACAAAACAACAACAACAAATTTATAGTTTGCTTTTTCATGTGCTAACCCTTCTAAGAAAGTGACATCTTTAAAACAAACAAACAAACAAAAAATAAGCTTGCGGGGAATGGGGAGTGGTGGCAGAGGCAGGAGAATCGCAGGTTTGAACCCAGCCTGGGCAACAACATAGTGAGACCCAGACTCAAAATAAAAGAATCAAAAGGGTTGGGGATGTAGGTCAGTTGAAGAGTACCCCTGGGTTCAAAAAGAAAATATACAGGTCTTTAAAAATACTTAGTTTGCATTCGGATACTTTAAGACTTGTTTTAAAGCAAATGAATTTTTTTCATGTAGACATACCGATTTTCATTAATTGACTTGTGAAATATTAGAATGACATACCATATCTAGAATTTTTACTTATCAAGTTTGTGCCATTTAAGTGAAATTCTTACCTCTTATTCAGTCTTTAGCCTTGTTCTACACATCCCTTGTCATGAACACTGCTATGGTAGAAACCTTAGCCTCATATTGAAAGAATACGGAATAAATTTTCTTCAGTTTTCACATTTTTTTCCAGTACACATTTGAAGATCCCAGATCTAAGAACTTTAAAACCACCTTTGAAGAGAGTTCAGAGTCCAAGGGTAGTGTTTTCTATTTTTGAATTTGTCTTCTACACTTGATGTGTTTTTTCCAGCAACTCTTCTGTTGAAGCATCTGCAACAGATGACTGTTGGCAGAGCAAGCAGAACTTTGTATACACCAGGTATAGGTTTACAAACCTATTGGTTAAAAATACACTGTCCTCATTTTCAATGTCTGTCTTTGGATAGTGCCAGAAGGCTGACATTTATGCCGTAGTCTTTATACTTTTATAAGTGATACAGAACCTCAGATTTTTACAAAAGGATAGCAGTATCATTTCATGTGAGATCATCTTTGAATAAGGATGGATTCTAGTCAGATTAACAGTGATGATTGGGAAGTATGAGAGCTCTTCAGTTGAAATTTGCATATCCGTGAATTATTAAAAGCTGGTTATTTTCAAGTTTCTGATCACTCCTTGTTTTTGTTAAGATATTTGAAGAGACCATTAGAATTATTTTTTGGTTTTAATGGGGATTGAACCCAGAGGCACCCTAGAGCTGTATCCGCAACCAACAAACCCACCCTTCCTTCCTCCCTTTTTGTCTCTCTCTGACCCAGGGTGCTGTATCATTGAGCTACATCCCCAGCTTTCTTTTCTTTTCTTTTTTTTTTGTTTGTTTGTTTTTTGTTTTTGTGTTTTTTTGTTTGTTTGTTTTGTTTTTGGTTTTGGTAGCAGCGATTGAACCTAGGGTCACTTAGCCACTGAGCCTCATCCCTAGCCCCCCCCTTTTTTTTTTTAAGTATGCTTTTTTATTTTTTTTTTAATTTATTTATTTTTTTAATATTTATTTTTTTAGTTTTCGGCGGACACAACATCTTTGTTTGTATGTGGTGCTGAGGATCGAACCCGGGCCGCACGCACGCCAGGCGAGCACGCTACCGCTTGAGTCACATCCCCAGCCCCCTAGCCCCTTTTATTTTTAATTTTGAGACAAGTTGCTGAGGCTGACCTGGAACTTTGAATATCCCTGTCTCAACCTCCTGAGTTGCTGGGCTTACAGTAGGAGCCACTGCAACTGGCTTTGTTATACACCTTTTAATAATAAAATTTAAGAAAAAGTCAAATTTTCCTCCTTCAATTAAGTTGCTCTTTGAAGTAATATTTTTTTTTCTTTCCTTTTTTGGGTAGCAGGGATTAGACCCAAGGGCACTTAACTACTGAGTTACATCCCTAGCTGGTTTTATATTTTATTTTGAGACAGGGTCGTGCTAAGTTGCTCAGGGCCTACCTAGGTGGCTAAGGCTGACTTTGAACTTGGAATTCTCTTACCTCAGCCTCCTGAGTTGCTGGGATTACAGGCATGTGCCACTTCACCTGGATGAAACAGAATTTTAATTATAAAATTTTACTTATCTGGACTAAAGTAAAAATCAATATAGAGTGAAAATAAATTAGTAATTTTCCCTATGGTTTATAGTGCAAGAAAGACAAAGTCAGAATAATGATAAGGGAAATTTTTATAACTTTTTGGTTTAATGAATAAATACATATAAACTTAACAAAACATCTAAAATATGTACATTGTGCCAGATATTATGTTAGATTCAAACACAACTCAGATCTTAGTTGTATTATGCTACAAAATGATATTTATTTATTCATTTATTTAGGTGGTGATAGGGATTGAACCCAGGGATACTTCCCACTCTGGAAGATTTTATTATAAGAAAATGGAATGGAAATTTTTTTTTTGTACATTTTGATTTTTTTTGTATATTTTTATTCTTTTTTTTTTTTTGTACTGGGGATTGAACCCAGAGGCACTTTACCACTGAGTTATACCCACAGTTGGTTTTACATTTTATTTCAAAACAGGGTCTCCATAAGTTGCTTAGGGCCACGCTAAACTGCTGAGGCTGGCCTCAAACTTGTGATCCTCCTGCCTTAGCCTCTGAAGTTGCTGGGATTACAGTCATGTACCACCAGACCTGGTTGATTTCTTCATTCTTCTTACTTTGTTTCATTTTTATATTCCTACATTGATTCAGTAGTGCCAACACATAATTTTTCTACAACTGTATCCTTCCATTCAGAGAAAATGTTGATAAAATATTCTTGCAATTAAGCATTTTCTTGCAAATATGAACTTAATATTCATATCTTCTTAGCACCATATAAATTCTTGTGTATAATATTTTAAAGCCAAAACTTGGCTGGATAGAGTAAATCCTTTGCTGAACTTCTTGGAAAAGAGAAAAAGATGTCTGAGATAACATGGCATTTAAATAATACCAAAAGGACCCTCGTAGTATGTCATTAGCATACGTGAAGAGCCTGAAATTTATGTATGTCACGTATACCTTTTTTTTTCTCTCTCTTTTGCTGTGACATCACCTGGGGAAAATGCAGAAGATTGGATAGCCAAGATATGACTAATCAAGAGCCTGCTGTGCTTAACAAAATGGTGGGTATTTGATTATTTCCAGTTCCATTTATTATGGTGAATCTTCACCTCTTTTGCTTCTCTCTCTAACCAGATAATTTTGGGACTGAAACTTTATATGGATAGAACCTCACATTGCTTGTTGAATTAATTTTAAAGGTATCTTTGAATTTTTTTTTCCTTGAAATAAAATGAGTGTTTTCTCAGCACATGAAATGGTTATTTTATTCCTTTTACTGCTAATATTTCTTTGCTCAACAACACATTTAAACCATACAGAATGAATCCCCCCTACCCACCAGTACTGAGGATCAAACCCAAGGCTTTATACATGCTAGGCAAGCAATCTACCACTGAGTAGAATGCCCTTAAATTTTTTTTTAATATTTATTTTTTAGTTGTAGGTGGACAACTAAATTTTTACATATTTTTATGTGGTACTGAGGATCTAACCCAGTGCCTCACACATGCCAGGTAAGCACTCTACCTCTGAGCCACAACCCCAGCCCTTAATTTTATTTTTAATACTTCTTGCACAACAATTGAGTTTGTGTATTAGGATGAGTTAAGAAAAATATAGGCTTTGAAACTATAGATAGCCTTAAATCTCAACTCATTCCTACAGTCAGATACTCTTCTCCTGAGCTATGCCCCACCCTTAACTCATTTCTTAATGGCTATGATGTCATTGATTGAGGGCAATAATAATCTGACCACTGTGAAATCACCAACTTCATGTTGCTCTCATATATAATGAAAAAGTATGAAGCTGGGTGTGGTGGTACATTCCTGTAATAGAGCAACTAGGGAGGCTGAGGCAGAAGGCCAGCCTCAGCAATTTAGCAAGGCCCTACTAAGCAATAGTAAGACCCTATCTCCAAAAAAAAAAAAAAGTATGTAATATTTGTAATAGCACAAACTAAGCGCTCAGTAAATAATCTGCACGTTAGTGTTTTAGACATGTAAGTAGCAGATTTAGTAGTACACATTTGCATCAGTTCTCTGTATTCACAACGTTGAATCCTAGAAATAACAATTTAGAAAACGCTTTTCTTCCTTTATTTAACTGATTACAAAAATAAAAATTGTACATATCAGTGGGATATCAGATTTTTTGCTATATGTAGACATTGTGCAATGTTTGTCAATTTATTTTATTTTTTTTGATACCATGGATTAAACCCAGGGATGATTAGCCACTGAGCTTATCCCCAGCCCTTTTTGTATTTTATTTAGAGACAGGGTCTCACTGAGTTGCTTAGCACCTCACTTTTGCTGAGGCTGGCTTTGAACTGGCCATCTTCCTGCCTTCATCTCCCGAGTTTCTGGGATTACTGGCTTGCACCCCTGCACCCCACTTTTACAGTACATACTTCTTATCTATAGTCCCTCCCTGTGCAGTAGTGTACCAGAACTTTTGACTCTTAAATGTAGCTTAGTATCCACTGATTAACCTAAAAACCTGTTTTAAAGAGCGAGCTACCTAACTGGGGTAGTAGCTCAGTTATGGAGCACTTGCCTAGCATGTGTGAAGCACTGGGTTCGATTCTCAGCACCACATATAAATAAAATAAAGATCCATTGACAACTAAGAAAATATTTTAAAAAAAAGAAAAACTACTTCGTGATCTATTTTATTTTTCTTTTGGTTCTTTTTGTTGTTGTTCTTCCTCTGTTCCTCTTTTTAATTTTTCTTCTTTTTTTCCATTTTTTTCTGCTTTGAGCCTATAACTTAGAACATAACTTAGCAAGGAGATATATTAGTCATGCTTGGTAAATCTCTTGTTCAGTTTACTTTGTCTTAGCCAGTATATGATTGAAGTCAAAAGTTGACCCAAAGTGATGATTAAGTCGTCAGTTTAGTTATTGCTGTTTTGTTAAACCATATGGATCTGTTATGTTTTTCAAAACTATTCCAACATTGCCTGTTTTGTATGGTTCAATCCATATGGACATGGACATGATACATCTGTTACATGTTCTGGTGTTTGATTCATTGGGATTGAGCATATATCTCTATAAAATTAAACCACTCTAAAACTCTTATTTTTGTTGATTTTTTTAACCCAAAATAAATACAAAGTGATGTAGAAATTTTCTACCATTAGAAACAATGTAACGATAATGGTACCCTTTATATGATTTGTTACTGGTTGGGGCCAAGACCCTCTAACTCTTGTCTCTTTTAGAAGCAAGTAGTAATAAATTCAAACTATTAAATTATTCAGGAAAACAAGTAAAAGTTGTGTTTTTTTTCCTTTACTCTTCATTGTATTAATTTGTACCATTTTTGATATGAGCTTGTTTTTTTTTCTAAAAATGTTGATAGATCTCATACATTGACAGGTCCTCAGGGTGTTACTTTTCTTGTGATCTGGCTCTAAACCTCTCCCTCCAGATTTACACACTCTTTTCTCTGCACAATTAAGTTCAAGCTGGGTGTGGTAGCACATGCTTGTAATCCCCGTGACTGAGGCTGAGACAGGAGGATCACAAATTCAAGGCTAATTTAGGCAAAACAGCAATAACCTGTCAAGGGAGGGAGAGTGGGAGGGAAGAAAATGACCTGCCTCAAGGAGTGCCTTTAACCAACTGAGGACCTGTGAAGAGTCATTTGAGGCTCCATCATGAGTATTCTCCACAGTAAAAAGTTTCAATTTCTGATCTGGCTCTCTGACTAATTCTGTGACTGATTGTGTAACTTTGGGCAAATCACTTAATCTTTCTGAGCTTGTTTCCCTTCTGTAGAATAAGATATTTCAATTAAATAAAGTCATGTGAAAGAACCTTGTAAAGTTTAAAGCACCACAAAATGCTAATCATTATTAGTAAGTGGCACATATCACTTCCAGATCTGAAATTTATTAAAAGTATTGAAAACATTTTTTGGACTCTCAAATAAAATAAAATGCCAATATCCCCCCTACATTTCCCAGTCCATGTCAAGTGGTTGCCAGAGACAGCAGCATGGCACAGTCTAGAGCTCCCAAACTCAGAGTCTTCAAGGGTCAAGCTAATGGTTGTTAAGGAGGAAAGGGTGTAAATGACTGTGATTAACTGGAGACTGGGGCCAGGCTAGAGGAGGTGGCTACTACTTGGTTCTGGGCTTGTGGCCAGATCTCCACATTTTTCATGAAACGCCAGAAAGCAGGTATTTTAACTGAAACCTCCTAGTTCTTAAATGTTTCTTTTACACTTGAAAACTAGAGGCCCACATGTGCAAACAGGCCCCTAGTCCAATCTCTGTTACAGACTGTTCTAAATTAAAAGGACTGTAATTAAACTCTGAACACCTGGGTTGGGACTCAGACTCTGTACCTTACTTTATGTGTGATCATTTAACTTTTCAGACTGTCACTATTTTATTTACAAAATAATAATTGTATAAGATAATATCTGCAAAGCATTGGCACGATGGATATGTGAATACTTATTCACTCTAAATGCAAAGAGACACAGCTATCATATAATTAATTGGTAGTGCCTTCAGGTTTTTTTTTTTTTTTTGTATTCTGGACACTCAGTTTTTCCATCATGCTCCAGAAAAGATTATCGTATCTTGGAAAGATAGTGAAGTATGGAGTCAGAGACCTGGGTCCAAGTTTTGGCTGTGACCTTACACTATAAGCTCTAGTTTCCTTATTTCTAAATACAGATCACATCTGCCTTGCAGATAAGATTATTGAGAAAATGTTTATAAAGACCTAGAACAGTATCCACTCATTGTCAACCCCTTGCCCTTTCAAGTGATCACAAAAATAAGAGCTGTACACAGGACTCTCATACAGAATGAATGTTCATCATGTCGTGTTGACTGTCCTGCCATGGAAAGGTCAAAGTGCTTTTAAAGGCAAGAATTCCACAGGAGTGGTAGTACACACCTGTAATTCTAACTATTTAAGAGGCTGAAGCTGGAAGACCACAAGTTTGAAGCCAGCTGTGGCATCTTATGGAGACTTATTCTAAAATAAATAATAAGAGTAAGATAAACTGTTCAGTGATAAACTGCCCCTGGGTTCACTCCCTAGTACTAGAGGAGACCAAAAAACAAATTCAAGACAAACAGCTGCTTCTCTTTTTCTCACATTAGATCATGCTCTGATAGCTCTCCAATCTCAGCATATACTGCTTCTCCACCCCTTTCTCAGTTGGGTTGGCTCTTCCTCCTTAGCTTCAACACAAGTGATCTTCATTTTTTTCTGTTTCCCTTATATTTTACTGGACTTCTTTGCAATGTATAGTTATTTGGGTTCCTATATTGCAGTCAATGTTAGCGAATATGTGCCTTGAGTAGAAGCTGTATCTTATTAACACTTTTTATTTCTTACAGAGCTGCTCAATCATTGTCTTATACTTACTGTGTGTTGAATGAATGGATGGATTTGTCCTTCTCTTCCTTGATGTGGAGGAAGACCAAATATTTGTTAGGAAAGATTGTTATCATAAAAGTTGGAAATGCATGATTTTTTCTTTTTCTTTTCTTTTTTTTTTTTTTTTTTTGGTACTGGGGATTGAACCCAGGGGCCCTTAACCACTGAGCCACATCCCCAACCCTTTTTATGTTTTATTTTGAGATAGGGTCTTGGCTGAGTTGCTTAGGTCCTTGGTAAGTTGCTGAGACTGGCCTCAAACTTGCGATCCTCCAACCTCAGTTTCTGGAGTCTCTGGGATTACAGGCAGGTACCACTACACCTGTCAGTAATTTTATCATTGGTTAAAATATGAATTGTATTATTTGTATGTAGTAAATTATACTAACCCTTAGTTTGAGTTTAGGTGTAAGAATAACTGCTGGGTATGGTGGTTCATGCCTGTAATCCCAGCTACATGGGAGGCTTAGGCAGGAGGATCAACAGCAAGACCTCTCAAAAGTAAAAATAAAAACAGTAAGGGATGGAGTTCAGTGTTAAAAGTGCCCCTGGATTCAATCCCCAATGTGTGTGGGGGGAGAGGGGGGTAAATAACAATACATTATTATAAATGGAATGCATTTGTGTATTATTAAACTTTGATGATGTTATAATTTCATTCTTGAAATTAGGATGATCATTAGTCTGGTACATTATTATTGGATTAATACCAAGAAGAGCCCAGAAATTTGATGACTGAACAATAGAGATATTCATATTTAGCTTGTCCTAAAGTATCTACAAGGTGATATAAAATTATTTAATACTGCTATTGAATTGTGAGTAAAATAGTTAACTTTGAAAACAGCTTATTTAGAAATCCTTGCTTTTTGGATATGGAAGTAGACTAATCATTAGGCATTTATTTTATTTGTACAAATACAGTATATTAAAGACCAGATACAATAAATGTATTTTAGGTGTTAATGATCTTGTATTGATTCTAGGTAGGCTTCTATCAACATATATACTTAGATTCTTGTCAGAAAGGCTTTGTTCCTTCCTTCCTCAGCATTTTACATTACGGCAGCTTTAGCAGATGATAATTATTTTTCTTTAATCACGGGAAATTTCTAGCCCTATATTTATTTTTCATACCATTTTATTATAATCAAATTGAAAAGCTTTTGGACAATTGAAAATAACTTGCCCTTCATATTTGAAGTATTGTTGTTTTATGTGCCACCAAACCAGGTCTGTTTTTGTCCAAGAGAGATATGGAAGGAAGGGACTTGGGAGGTAAAAGTATGTGATACATTTCATCCTTCTCCTGCATTCAACTTCTTAATGTTCTGATCCTCTGTGGTCTTTGATTCTGTTTCTTGGACTGCATTCTAGAATGTTTGAGTTCCTGAGGAATATTTCTGTGTGTGTGTGTGTGTGTGTGTGTGTGTGTGTGTTAGCAGAGGAGTGTATTATATGTATTTCATCCTATTGTTCTCTGGAGTAAAGAGGTGTTCTTTGTCTACTATTATCTTAGTTCACTTCAGACCTATTTGAGTATTCTGCCTATTTTATTTTTCTGAAAAAATGTTTGTGTTTTGCCTAGAGGCATAGCTGTGTGAATGTCTGTAGCCACTGGTTCTCTTTCATCACTTGTGATTTAGAATAAACCAAGCTTACAGTTGTTAGTGTAGCTGAAGTCAGCCTAAAAGATTTTTTGGAGAGCAAGTTATTTTGAGTTGCCTGAAAACATAATTTAATTATGATACAGTGTTAAAGAAAATTAGTATGGGTCTAAAACCTTTTATCATTTGTGATTAGAAGACAACTGTTCTGTAATAAGCCATAATGTAAAATGTTGAAGAAGGAGCAAAGCCTGCCTGACAAGAATTCAGGGTATGTTGGTTGACTGGAGCCACCAAGTGGTCTTGGGGATAAACTCCTTCTGTTATCTGAACCTTTGAGAGAGTGATTTGCTTGAGACAAGACATCTTACTGAGTGTGGACACACTGAAATAAAGCATTCAGTTTTCTCAGTGAAAATAGCATTGGTGACAAAGATCTTTTGCTACTCATAAATTGTGCCGTAAGTTACTTATTGAATCAAACATGTGCTCATTATTATGTACTTGCCAGTTGTGGCTGAGGTAAGAGCAGAATTTGGTTGTCAGGTATCTGTAAAGGAGCTACAGAAGGGTTTTTCAAAACAGTAATGTTTCTTTAAACTCAACAAGAAAACAAGTCTAAATAATGTTCAGCATCATGTCCCTAGCATCTGGGAAGAGTATTTGGCCCAAAGTGGACACACCTTGTTAAGGGAATGAACAGGTTAATGAATAAAAAAAGAGTGTAGGAGCAAGTACCCGCTTTCCTGTCTCATCTCTTAAAAAAAAAATCACTGTAAAATAAATGTTTATATAACCTTTAATCCATTGAAATTCTTTAAAGCCTTACAAAGTTAAAAGGATCTCTGCATCAAGGTTGCTTGTATGGCAGGAGAGCCTATCATCCTATTTAAACATGGCTTCTAACAATTAAGTATGTAGAGACTGGGTGTGTAGCTCAGTGATAGATTCCATGCATTACTGAGGCTCTAGGTTTGATCCCCAGCACACCCCACCCCAAAATTTAGTGTTTGGTAGGTCTAAGTCTTTCATTCATGAGGAAATTTTTAATGTTAGTACCTTGCTTTTCTGTACATCTATGTCATCTTTTAGTCTTTGTTAAACAGTCTACCGCTTTTCTGATTTTTTTCTACTCTTGACCATATGTAGGAAAAACAAAATCTGATAGATGTACCTAGACAGATTATCTTACAGTATCAAACAGAAGTCCAGGGTATTTTTTTAAATATATCTTTTAGTTGAGAGTGGGCCTTTATTTATTTATTTATTTATTTAGGTACTGGGGGTTGAACTCAGGGGCACTCAACCACTGAGCCACATCCCTGGCCCTATTTTGTACTTTAAATTGTTTAGAGACAGGGTCTCACTGAGTTACTTAGCACCTCACCATTGCTGAGGCTGGCTTTGAACTCGAGATCCTCCTGCCTCAGCCTTCCAAGCTGCTGGGATTACAGGAGTGTGCCACCGCACCTGGCTTATTTTTATTTTTTTATTTCTATGTGGTGCTGAGAATTGAACCCAGTGCCTCACACATGCTAGGCAAGTGCTCTTCCACTGATCCACACCCAGCCCTCAGGGAATTTTAAGTACATAAATATGTACTTAAAATGAAATAAATATGTTATGAAATAATATGTTTATGAAATAAATATGTTAATATTGGCGGTAACTAATCCAGAATAAAGGCACATAAATAAAGATTACAGAGTATAACTAGTATAGAGTTGTGGTTTGAGCTACTGTTGTTGTCTGTGATTTATAACTGACTTTAAAATGATCCATAATATCCTTCTCCGGGTCCTGCATACATAATGTAAGAGCACTATGTTCTTGTACATTTTCTTCTGATGAGTTTCATTTTTCTTGTGATAGGATAGAAACAATCAAGAACACTTTAAATTGTTGAGCAACCCTAAAGCCTTTTTGTTGTTGTTTCCTTTTTTTTTTTTTTTTGTATTATTTTTTAATTTGTTTTAATCAGTTACACATGACAGTACAATGACCTTGACATATCATACATTTGAATCAGATGGGTTATGATTTCTCATTTTTCTGAGTGTACAGGTTGCAGACAGAATAACCCTAAAGTCTTCATAAACCAGCCTGGTAGTGGCTTAAGTTTAGGTGGTCTGATACTTTTTATAGTTATCTTGAAATAATCTGTTGTAAAATTTATACAATGAAAAATTAATGAATTATTTAGGATATACTACCAAAAAAGAAAGATCTTAAAGCAACTTTTCAAATTTAAAAATATTTAAAGTATTATAATTATCTTTACAAAAACTTGTGTGGAAAAATTGTGTAATATTTCCTTTCTGTTGAGAAATATTTGAAAATGTAGCCAGGTATGGTGGTACACACCTATAATCCTAGCAACTCGAGAGGCTGAGGCTGGAGGATCTCAAATTCCAGGCTAGAGCCTCAGCCACTTTTTGAGACCCTGTCACAAAAAAATAGAAAAAGTCTGGGGGCATTGGCACATGCCTGTAATCCCAGTGGCTCAGGAGGATCTTGAATTCAAGCCAGCCTTAGCAAAAGCAAGGCACTAAGCAACGCAGTGAGATCCTGTCTCTAAATAAAATACAAAATAGGGCTGGGGATGTGGCTCAGAGGTCAAGTGCCCCCGAGTTCAATTCCTGGTTCTAAAAATAAAATAAAATTTTAAAAAAGGGACTGGGGTTTAAAGCTCAGTGTTTAAACCACCCAGAACCCCTGAGTTTAATACCCAGTACTGGGCGGCAGTAGGGGCGGGGAGGGTGTGGTGTTGTCTTAAATGAACATGAATATAAACTAAGTGCTTTTTTTTTGAACTGGGGATTGGACCCAGGAGGAGGCCTTAACCACTGAGGTATATCCAGCCCTTTTTATTTTTTATTTTGAAACAGGGTCTTGTTAAGTTGCTTAGGACCTCACTAAGTTGCTAAGGCTATTTTCAAACTTGCAATCTTCTGCCTCAACCTTCTGAATTGCTGGGATTATAGAATTGTGCCACCATACCTAGCACAAGTGTCGATTTTTTGTTTTATTTTCTGGTGCTGGGGATTGAACCCTGGGTACTTTATCACCTTAATCTTCTAGATGAAAACTATTGATTTGAGTTAAATTTTGTGTGTGTTTAAATGGTAACTTAATATGATAGCTTACATATTTAAAATAATGTCGCAACATTGTTATATGTTCAAGTAATACAAGCTTCTGCTTGTAATGTTTTCTCTCTAGAAGAGAGTCGAGTAACCATATCATATGGTTGGTATCATAGGAACCTGGTAAAAGAGGAAGTAAAATAGTTCATTTCTTTTTGCCTTTTAGATGCCAGAATTCCAGAAAAGTTCAGTTCGTATCAAGAACCCTACAAGAGTAGAAGAAACTCTCTGTGGTCTTATCAAAGGAGGAGCTGCCAAACTTCAGGTAGACTAATTATGCAGATGTCTTTATTGTTTAAATATTTTATTACTGATATTCAAACAGTGTCATTCATCTTCTTCCTATTTTGGTAACATCTGAGTAAAACAAGTTTAAGTGGACATTTTTTGCCTATTTCTTGAAATGTGAAATCTAAGACATCTAGAATTGTCTGAAACAGAATACTCTAATGGAAACACAAATTAATAGCCTTAATATAAACATTTTCTTTTATTATTTTTCATTTGTTTATTTGTGCTGAACATTGCACCCTAGGCATTGGGCATGCTAATAGTACCTTCTACCACTGTCCCTACACCCACTGCCCCCAAACTTTAGGATTTTTTCAGTATTAAGTATTAAGCAAGTTAACGGCTGGTTGCAGTAGTGCACACCTATAATCCCAGTTACTTGGGAGACTGAGGGAGAGTGAAGCAGGAAAATTGGAAAGTTTGAGGCCAGCCTCAGCAACTTTTTTTTTTTTTTTTTTAATTTAGTGAGGCCCTCTCTCAAAAGGAATGGGAATGTAGCTCAATGGTTGAGCACCCCTGGTTTCAGTCCCCAGTACCAAAAAAATAAATTATGTATTGTTTTAACTCTATAGAGAGTCAAGTAACCATATCACATACAATTTATAACTTTCTATACTAATTGTTTTGTTTGATTGGTTGTTGTTGTTTGGTACAAGGGATTGAACCCAGGGGCACTCTACCACTAAGCCATATCATGAGCCCTTTTTAGCTTTTATTTTGAGACAGGGTCTTACTAAATTAATCCAGGCTGGCCTTGAATTTGCAGTCCTCGTGCTTTAACCTCCCAAATCCTTGAAGTATAGGTGTGTAACACCACGCCTGGCTGATTAATCAGATTTTATTTGGTGACAAATATAGGGCACTTAAGATATCACCTTGTATTTAAAGGCATTTTCAGGATGTTGTATGTGAAAACCATTAGAAAACTTAATGTCAAAATAGTAACCTAAGCATGGTCCCGTGCCTCTAAGAAGGTATGTATTTGGATAGCAATAAAGAAATCCTGGTCATGGTGGCTGTGCTTACATAATGCCTTTCTCCTATTTCTTACAGATAATAACAGACTTTGATATGACACTAAGTAGATTTTCCTACAAAGGGAAAAGATGCCCAACTTGTCATAGTAAGTATGGTACTCTTTTTTTTATAGTACTGGGGACCACTGAGCCACACTCCAGCCCTGTTTTGTATTTTATTTAGAGACAGGGTCTCACTGAGTTGTTTAGCACCTCGCCTTTGCTGAGGCTGGCTTTGAATTCCCAATCCTCCTGACTCAACCTCCCAAGCCACTGGGATTACAGTAATGCACCACTGCACCCGGCAAGTGTGATACTCTTAAACAAATTTATAAAAACTAATCACAGATATCCTTTTTATCTATATTATCTATATCTCCTATTTGAGATGACTGGAAGTTCCTTTTGGATATGGAAATCAGGGGAACCTGCTTTTTCTTAACTGTATTTTTTTTTAATACTTATTTTTTAGTTGTAGTTAGACACAGTATCTTTATTTTATTTTTATGTGGTGCTGAGGATCTAACCCAGGCCTCGCACGTGCTAGGCAAGCGCTCTACTGCTGAGCCACAATCCCAGCCCTTTTAACTGTATTTTGAGGATTTGGGTTTTCCCCCCTTATTATATAAATAGTTCTTTTTATGTGTGGTTTTGATAGCAGATATAGAAACTTAATATATCTCACCATCTGTAGTCTATTAATTATTCAAAAAAAATTTAAATGGATTTTAAACTCTGGCTCAACCTAAAGAAATAGTGTTTAACAAATACTGTGGCTTGGGGATGGAGCTTAATGGTAGATCTTGTAATACCTTCCTTGAGGCAGCACTGCCCCTCCCCCCAAAAAAAGTGGTTGGAGGAAGACTGTTAACAGGATTTTTATTTTTTGTCAGTAATTCCTCTTTGGAGAAATTTTTGTTTTGTTTTGTCTTTATTTTTATTTATTTATTTGTTTATTTAGTTTTGTGGTACTGGAGATTAAGCCCAGGGGAACTTTACCACTGAGCTACATCCCCCACTTCTTTTATTTTTCATTTTGAGACGGCCTCACTAAGTTGCTGAGAGTCTTGCTAAATTGCTGAGGCTGGCCTCGAAGTTGCCGTTTTCCTGCCTCAGTCTCCCAAATTGCTGGGATTAAAGGCAAGTGACACTGCACTCGGCTTGTTTCTTCTCTTTAGTTAAAATGGAAGATGAAAATAGGAACAGTCACTACACAATTCAGTGTTTGAAGACCTTGAATTGTTTGGCTCAGGGGTTATGTGAGGAACCACTAAGTCTCAGATTTTGAAACTGTTTTAGTTTTGCAAAGTAGTTCTAGGGATTGAACCTAGGGCCTTGGGCATGCATGCAAGGCCAGCACTCTGCTACTGAGCTATATCCCTAACTCTTAACTTGCTTCTTTTTCTTTCCTTTTTTTCTTTCTTCCTGTCTCCCTCCATCCTTCCCTTTGCATTTTTTCCATATTTTTTATTGGCACATTATAATTATACATAATGGGGGCTGGGGTTGTGGCTCAGTGGTAGAGCACTTGCCTAGCACATGTGAGGCACTTGGTTCAATCCTCAGCACCACATAAAAATAAATAAATAAATACAGGTATTGTGTCCATCTATGACTAAAAAAATATTTTTAAAAAGATTATATGTGGGCTGGGGTTGTGGCTCAGTGGCAGAGCGCTTGCTTCACATATGTGAGGCACTGGGTTCAATCCTCAGTACCACATATAAATAAATAATAATATACATCAACAACTAAAAAATATTTTTAAAAAAGATTATATGTAATGATTTTTTGGTTACACATTGGTACATGCACACAATATAAAATTGAATTAAACCAATATCATTCCCTGATAAGTCACCTCTTCCTGTCCTTTCCTCTACTGATTTCCCTTCAGTTTTCATGAGAACACCGCACACACCTTTCTTTTCCTTTTTCCTCTATAGCCTCAACATGTGAGAGAAAACATGACCATTGGCTTTCTGAGTTTGTCCTATTTTGTTTAACAAAATATTTTTATTTTTATTTTTAATATTATTTATTTATTTTTTAATTCTCGGCGGACACAACATCTTTGTTTGTATGTGGCGCTGAGGATCGAACCGGGCCACACGCATGCCAGGCGAGCGCGCTACCACTTGAGCCACATCCCCAGCCCCAAAATATTTTTAGATTCCATCGATTTTTCTGCAAATGACACAATTTCATTTCTCTTTGTGGCTAAATAAAACACTACTATATATATATACCACATTTTCTTGATTCGTTCATCAGTTGATGGACATTTAGGCTTGGTTCTATAGTTTAGCTATTATGAATTGTGCTGCTATAACCTGGGCATGCATGTTTCAATATAGTATGCCGATATTTATCCTTTGGATAAATTCCAAGGAGTGGTATATATGGGTCCTATGGTAGTTCTATTCCTAATCTTTGAGAAACCTCCATACTGATTTTCAGAGTGGTTATACTAATCTACAATCCCACTGATAGTGTTAAGAGTGTTTCTTTTCCCCCACATCCTCTGTAGCATTTATTATTATTTTGGTTTTGTTCTTTTGTTTGTACCAGGGATTGAACCCAGGGATATTTTGCCACTGAGCCATATCCTCAGTCCTTTTTATTTTGTTAACTTGTTAAAACAAGTTACAGTTGGGATTAAAGATATATGCCACCACAACCAGTTACTGTTTGTATTCTTGATGACTGCAGTTCTGACTGGAGTAAGATGAAATATCAGAATAGGTTTTTGATTTCTCTAATTGCTAAAGATGTTGGACTTTTTTATATTATATTTGCTATTTATATTTCTTCTTTTTTAGGGGAGCCACTGGGGATTGAGCTCAGGGGCACTCGACCACTGAGCCACATCCCCAGCCCTATTTTGAATTTTATTTAGAGACAGAGTCTCATTGAATTGCTTATTAGTGCCTTGCTTTTGTTGAAGCTGTCTTTGAATTCTCTATCCTCCTGCCTCAGACTTCCAAGCCGCTGGGATTATAGCCATGTACCACCATACCCGTGTTGGGCAGAAGCTTTTTAATTTGATGCCAGGCCATTTCCACTTCTTGATAGAAATTCACTTCGTTTCTTTAGCTAATGTGAATTATAGCACTGAGACCAAAATTTGTAATAACCATGCTGGTTGACTTGTGCTTTAAAAGACATTATTCACAGTATTGGTAACATCTGAATATTTTCTTTTAATGCCTGTTTTGCTTTCTCTCTTCAGATATCATTGACAACTGTAAGCTGGTTACAGATGAATGTCGAAAAAAGGTAAACTTTACCAGTAATCCACCATAAATACACTCCGGATGAGAATTTCATTAGGTTCATTTACACAAATAAGAATGGATGCAAAGTTCTTATGATCATACCTGGCTCATAATAATAATTCAGTACATGCTTTTTTATTGTATGAATATTGTCAACGTATTTTAAAGGAAAAACTAATATTAACTTTTAAACAACAAAACTTAGATGTAATGGTGGCATATACCTCTAATCCTAGCAATTTGGGAGGATGACAGGTTTGAGCCAGCCTCTACAATTTAGCAAGACCTGTGCCAGAGTAAAAAGGGTTGGGATGTAGCTCAGTGGTAGAGCCCCTGTATCAGAAAAAAGCAAAGATTTAAAACTTCTAAATGATTACTAAAATATTGTACCATTCTCTATTAACTGGAAAATTAAAAATACTTATATTTTTTCATAGTTTTTCCTCCCTTAAAGTAGTAAAGAAATTTCTTCAGTACTTTGAGTATCTACCTCTGTATATCTTAATAAAATAAGACTACTTAAATTTGTGAATATGAGAACTTGTTTTGTAATGCTACTCTGATTAGTTAGTAGTTGGTTTGCCGAATTGCTGGCATAAAAGTATTTTACAAAAGAGGTACCTTTTTTTTTTACAGACACTTGTTCATGTTGTCTTGCTTTCAGTAAAACAAAATGGATTAGTGACAAAACACTATGGTTATGATGATTAAGTTATTTTATTTTCTAGTTATTGCAACTAAAGGAACAGTATTATGCTATAGAAGTTAATCCTGGTCTTACCGTGGAAGAAAAGTACCCTCATATGGTAGAATGGTAAGTGTGTATGGAATGGTGGGAACCTGAAAGCCTAACAAAGCAGTGTTACAGTTAAAACTGATGGTTTTTTCTGCCCTGTCTATACTGTGTACAAGGACATTCTTCAATCATGTTAAAGCAGTGAATTGAATTAAACATAAAATAAATTTTTATTTTCTAATCACTCTAGGGTTTGCTTTTTAAGTTCAGTAGAACTAAATTTAAAATTCTGCATTCAAAACCAAGAATTTTTTTTCCTTAAAGTATATGGACACTCCAAGTGCAGTGGTATACAACTGTAATAAGGGACTCAGGAGGCTGAGGCAATAGGGTTACAGGTTTGAGGCCAACCTGGGCATGTTATCAAGACCAGAACCTTTAAGAAAGTTCCTTCTCGCCAAGCACAGTTGGGCACACCTGTAATCTCAGTGGCTTGGGAGGCTGAGGCAGGAAGATTGCCAGTTCAAAGCGAGCTTCAACAACTTAGTGAGACCCTGTCTCTAAATAAAAATATAAAAAGTGCTAGGGATGTGGCTCAGTGGTTAAGATCCCCCTGAGTTCAATTCCTGGTGCACAAAAAAGAAAAAAAGAAAGTTCTCTCTCAAATCAAGGCACTTTCTACTTCTTAAAATCCTGAGACCAGGAATATTTGTCTTCATTATCCCATTACCTAACAGGGTGCCTTGCACATGTCACCTGTATACCTGTATTTGTGGTATTGAATCTTTTTTTCTTTTTTTTGTACCAGGGATTGAACTCGGGGGCATTCCACCACTGAGCCACATCCCCAGCCCTATTTTTATTTTATTTAGAGTCTGGTCTCACTGAGTTGCTTAGTGCCTCACTTTTGCTGAGGCTGGCTTTGAACTCACAATCTTCCTATCTCAGCCTCCCAAGCCACTGGGATTACAGGAGTGTGCCACCACATCCGGTAGTATTGAACCTTGAAAATAGACTTTACCTGCATGTAGAAGCAGAATTAGAATTAGATTTCTGCATGATAGAAGAAAGGACCATCCTTCTGGGCACAGTGGTATATGCCTGTCTGTAATCCCAGCAACTCAGGAGACAGAGACAACAGGATCACAATTTCAAGGCCAGCCCCAGCAACTTAGCAAGACCCTAAAACAACCTGTAACCTGGCTCGAAATAAAAAGGGCTGAGATTGTAGCCCAGTGCTAAAGCTCCCTGAGCTAAATCCCCAGTACCAAAAATAAAAAGAAAGGACATCTAGCAAGTAGAATTATTTGGCAGTGGCAATGGAATAAAGTTCCCTTAGAGAATGAGTACGCTGTCTAATGGAAGCTGATACAGGCAGAGAGGAGTGTCATTTAGGAATAATGTAGGCAATTATTTAGATCTCCAGTGAAAAGTTAGGTTCTTTGTTAGTGAGTGGGCTGTTTGGACAGTTGTAAAGGTGAGAGTTAGATTCTAAAGCCTGGTTACACTGAGATGCTGTGTTTAGGTGTTATTACATTCATATAAAAAATAGGTGAGGTTGTATATACTTTCCATAGTAAGGGTTTTTTTCTTGCTCACTAGGTAGCTTCTTCAATACTTTTTGACATTTCTTGAAAATTTAAACTACAAGAGATGAGAAAAGTGACTTTGCTTTTACTGATCACACAGTCATACAAATGACTGTGCCATCCTAAGTTTGGATGAGGTGTTTTTTGTTTGTTTATTTGGTTTTGTTTTTGGTTTCTTAACAAAAACAAGTAGGGAGCAATGACATGCCTACAGTCCCAGCTACTTGAGAGGCTCAGGCAGGAAGATCATAAGTTTGAGGACAGTCTGGATAACTTAGTGAAACCCTGTCTCAAATTAAGAACAAAGCGGGCAGGCAGAGGTTGGGATATAGCTCAGTGGTAGAGCACCCCCGGGTCAATCTCCAGTTCTGCAAAACAAAAAGCAAAAATGAATCTTTATTGTCTAGAAATATATATTTTAAAAATCCCCTGTGAAAGGTGCAGTTATTTCCCTAGATATGAAGGACATATTAAACCTTATGAACTCTTCATCTGGATGTCCAGACAATGCTCCATCTATGTATTGTTCTGTATTTGCACATTCATGTAGTCATCTACAGATACCAGGTAGCCCTTATCCATTCCCCACTTATATTCACTATCATTGGCTTTCCGTTAATCTATTGAGAAAAGGTTTGGGGTTGACAGATAAACTCATCGTGAGTACCCATGAATGCTGCAGGCTCATTGGTGACCCAGCTATTGCCTTTCCCTTGGGACTGGAGCATCAGGGCTCAAACCACTGAGGATCAAGAGAAATCTGGTTTGGGGTTGGGGCTGTAGCTCAGTGGTAGAGCATTTGCCTAGCATGTGTGAGACACTGGGTTCGACCTCAGCATCACATAAAAATAAATGAATAAAGGTCCACCTACAATTTTAAAAAGAGAGAGAAATCTGGACTGAGGAAAGACTCACAGCCCTTTTCTTTCGTTATCTTATTAGCATATTTAAGTTCTGAGTTCTAGAGATCTGGAAAATGTGCAACAAATATACACATCACATTTTGAGGCACACTAGGATATAATTCATTAATGGTGAATTTTTATATCTCAGGTTGAAATCCAAATATGTGGCCAAAAGAACTTTTCTTATACTGAAGCATGCTTTGTAATAAAAATAATTGTTTTAATGTATACTTTTGTTTCTTTTGTCACAACTCCAGGTATAGTAAGTCTCATAGTTTGATTGTTGAACAAGGTATACCAAAAGCTAAAATTAAAGAGATTGTGGAAGAATCTGACGTTATGCTCAAGTAAGTTTCTGAATGTTTGTTATTGTCTGCAGAATTGAAGTATTTTTATTTTCGATTGTGTATTTTTATTAAAATAAGATATAACACTACTCCATGGAAAAATACCCTAAATATACTACTTGTCCAAAATGGATAGTGTATGATAAGAAATCTAGAATGACAAGTTAGATTTGGTGTAGGTAATAAATCACATTTAAGTACTAATATTTTTGTCCAGATTAAACCCCTAATATTTGTTGTGTTTCAAAAGATTTGCTTATTCTGACTTTTTCCTAAATGAAATCATACCATGTATTCTTTTTCCTTTTAAACATTTTTGGTTGTAGATGAACACAATGCCTTTATTTTATTTATTTATTTATTTTTTAATGTGGTACTGAGGATTGAACCCAGTGCTTAACATACTAGGCAAGTACTCTCCCACTGAGCTACAATCCTAGTCCTCATATCATGTATTTTTTTTTTCTTAGTTGTAGATGTACCTTTAATTTATTCATTTATTTATATACGGGGCTAAGAATTAAACCCAGTGCCTTACACACGTGAGGCAAGCGCTCTACCACTAAGCCACAACCCCATACCATGTACTTTTTTTTTAACATTTTTTTAGTTGTAGATGGACACAATATCTTTATTTTATTTATTTATTTTTTATGTGGTGCTGAGGATCAAACCCAGTGCCTCACGCATGTGAGGCAAGTGCTCAACCACTGAGCTACAACCCCAGCCCCCATGTATTCCTAAAATTAAATTTTTTTTTAATATTTATTTTTTAGGTATAGATGGACACAACACAATGCCTTTATTTTTATGTGGTGCTGAGGATCAAACTCGGGTCCCAACTGTGCTAGGGGAGTGCTCTACTGCTGAACCACAATCCCAGCCCCCAAATTAAAAATTTCAAGACTAAGATACAAATTTATGCAACCAAGAAAATTTCTAAATTTTTTCGGAAAATACTTTTGAAAGACATGAAATTTTAAAGAAATATTTATAAAGTTTATACATAAACTTGTTTCTAAGATTACTTCAGTCTGTTTTCTGAATTCTCCAGACGTTTTTGAAAACAATCTCTAAGAAAGTAAATGTTTTAATACATAATTAATTAAAATATTCACAATTTATCAATTATATAAAAAAATGGTTCTAGTGATTAGACTCAAGGGTGCTCTATCATTTTGCTACATCCCCAGCCGTGTGTGTGTGTGTGTGTGTGTGTGTGTGTGTGTTTGTAGTGCTGGGGATTAAACCTAGGGCCTTGTGCATGGGAGGCAAGCACTCTACCAACTGAGCTATATCCCTAGCCCCCCAGCCTATTTTTAAATTATATTATACTTTTTTTAAATTAGAGCATTGTAGTTATACATAGTAATTGGATTCATTTTGACAAAATCATACATGCATTGAATTTGATTTCAATCCCCATTCCCCTGCAATTCCTTCCCCTTCTCTCCTCCCCACTTCTCCTTCCTCTACTATGTTGATTTTTCTTTTGCTCGTTTATTTATTTTTGATTGGCTCTTTATATGTGGTGCTGAGAACCGAACCCAGTGCCTCATACATGCTAGGCAAGCGCTCTACCACTGAGCCACAACCCTAGCCCCTTGATTGGTTCTTTCTACTTAAACATAAAGGTGAAATTCCCCATGGTATATTTATATATATATATACATAATGTGATTTTGTTAAAATTTATTCTACATTTCCTCCCCTTTCTCAGCCCTCTTCTTTCCCTTTTGATAAAAAAAGGTATGGAATGCTTCATGAATTTGCATGTCATCCTTGCACAGGGGTTATGCTAATCTTCTTTGTATTGCTCCACTTTTAGTATATGTGCTGCCATAGTGAGCACCCTTTTAAAATGTTTTATTCTGAGATAGGTTCTCACTGCATTGCCCATGCTGACACTGAACTTGCAATCCTCCTGCCCCCACCTCCTGAATCCCAGGGATTAAAAGCACATACCACTATGTCTAGCTTAAAGATGATTTTCCATATCTTTTACCACCTTTTACAATTTTCAATTTGTGAGACAAATAACAATGCTGCTCCTTTTTATTCTTTGTGGTGCTGGGTTCAATTCCCAGCGCATACTAGGCAGCTGCTATTATCGCTGAACTATGCCCCGGGTAACCCCTTTTTTGTTTGTTTGTTTGTTTTTAAATTTCTTTAGTTGTGGCTGGACATGATATCTTTACTTTATTTATTTATTTTTATGCAGTGCTGAGGATCAACCCCAGGATCTCACATGTGTTAGGCAAGTGCTGTATCTCTGAGCTACACTCCTAGCCCCAACCCCTTTTTTTTTTTTTTAAACATTTATTTTTTTAGTTATAGGTGAACACAGTCTGTATTTTATTTTTATTTGGTGCTGAGGATCGAATCTAGTGCCTCACACATGCTAGGTGAGTGTACTACCTCTAAACTGCAACCCCAGCCCCCCTTTGTTTTTTAATGACACTATATTCCAAGGTGATTACTTTTCTTTCCCCTCTCTCCAAAGGCATACCCAGAGGTTTGTTTAGGAAAGTGGAGGCACATTCAAAGGAGTTTAGTCTTGAGAAGGTTTGGGGGTAGAAAGGAGGGCATATTCAGGGGAGAATGTGGTCTACCACTAGATGGAGAAACAGCCTAAGGTGATTACTTATAAGAAGGAAAGAAATTGTCAAAAAGAGGACAGCTAAATGAATATTTTATTAATAAGCAGCAACAACTTAATTTAACCTATAGCTGAGGAAGAGTAAAAATGGAAGAATAGGTTTTAGGATCTTGGAAAGGAGAGATGTCAGAAGTTAAGAGTACAGCTAAATTCTTCTGTTCTGCTTTTCTGATGATAGGGAGAGTTAAGGAACATGTTTCCAGGCAGGTGGTCTTCCAGCTCCACCTAAATGGGTTTTTCAAGGGGTGGTTTTAATCCCTTGCTTTTTAATGGTATAAATTGTGAATGGTAGGCTTATATCTATATTCAATATGAGTCTATTTGAACTATTAGAACAGTCATTCTCAACTGGGGTGATTCTGTCCAAAGAATTTCTGGCAATGTCTGGAGGAGGCATTTTTTATTTTCATGACCAGACAGGGCCACCCAGCATCTAGTGCTATTTTTAGAACATACAGCTTCCATGGCTGAGGGTGTAGCTCAGTGGTAGAGCCCTTTGTAGAATGTATGCCCCCCAATCCCCCATTGTACACACTGCATGTCTCTGCCTATTTTGAACTAGTAGAATTGATTAAAAGAGCTGGGCTTGGCAGCACAAGCTGGTAAAACCAGCAATTTGAGAGGCTGAGGCAGGAGAATTATAAGGCCAGCTTCAGCAACTTGGTGAGGCCTTGAGGAATTTAGTGAGATCCTGTCTCAAAAAATTTTTTTTAAAAAGAGCTGGGGATGTGGCCCATTGGTAAAGTGCCTCTCCAAAAAAAAAGAAAGTAGTTGCTTGAAAAAGTACTCGTAGTGGTATAGATATTACCAACTGTCCTCTTGGGCAGTATTTTGAAATGAGAATATACATAAGTAATAGAATTTAGATGAAGTATTTTGTTTTTAAGCTTCTAAATGAAAAGGAGATGTATTTTGTTCTTTATTAATCATTTTGTACCTCCATCTTGCAGGGAAGGATATGAGGATTTCTTTGATAAGCTCCAACAATACAGCATACCTGTGTTCATATTTTCGGCTGGTATTGGTGATGTACTAGAGGAAGTTCTCCTTCAAGCTGGGGTTTATCATCCAAATATCAAAGTAGTGTCCAACTTCATGGATTTTGATGAAAATGTAAGAACAGTAAATCATTCTCAGATTTACTTTAAAAATCTGAAAGTATTTTAATCATGAAAATTTATTATAATTTGATATATATTCATTAAATTGGACCCAAGTTAATAGGCCCGGTATAGGACTCATGATCTGGTTTTCCAGTGTTGTATTTTAGAAATAATATACCCTTCATAAATTTTTGCTCACAAGTTTTAAACTAATATTAAAATTTGCAAAACTTCTCTTATTTGAATACAGCAACTCTGAAGACTCTTTAGCATTCATAGGTGGAAAATAAGAAGGGAATTAAGATTGAATTAATTTTCCCAAGCAAGACATTATGTTGTAAAATACTTAAAAATGAAAAGAAGTTGAATTCTCAACTCATTTAAAATGGTCACTAGGAGATAAGATACTTCTTAGGGCCCTTCCAACCTGTCATGATTGGCATGTTCTCGAGTGCTGTGAGTCTTCTAGTGTTAGAGATAAACTTTAAAATATGATGAAATAATGTGACATGATTAAAAACTACAAAATGTGAAAACCTAACAAATAGAATTTGTAAAACCAATTTTTTTTCCAAAACATTTCTGTGTTTAATAGGGTATCCTCAAAGGATTTAAAGGAGAACTAATTCATGTATTTAACAAACATGATGGTGCCTTGAAGAATACAGACTATTTCAGTCAACTCAAAGACAACAGCAACATAATTCTGCTGGGAGACTCCGAAGGAGATTTAAAAATGGCAGATGGGGTAGCCAATGTTGAACACATTCTTAAGATTGGTTATCTAAATGATAAAGTAAGTATTCAGGTCTTTTAGTTTTCTTTCAAGAAAAAGTTGGGATGAAACTTTATAGCGATTTGTTGCCAAAGGCTCTTGAGACTTTATGCCTTTTTCTTTGGGAATGATTAAAGAAGTTGATAAGCACAGAAACATGCAGTGTGTAAGGTGGGGAATTAGAGGCTGTACATTCTATGAAGGGCTCTACCCTCAGCCATGGAAGCTATATGTTCCAAAAATGGCATTAGATGCTGGGTGGCACTGCCTGGTCATGAAAATTAAAAATGTCTCCAAACATTGCCAGAAATTCTTTGAACAGAATCACCCCAGTTGAGAATGACTATTCTGGAGATAAATTTTTTGCGGGGAGAAGAACTACCATGTGGAAAAGCTCCTTTCTTAAAACATTTCAGTCTGTTTTCTTTTGGCGGGTGGGTACTGGGAATTGAACTCGGGGGCACTCAACCACTGAGTTATATCCCTAGCCTCGCTTTTGCTGAGGCTGGCTTTGAACTTGTGATCCTCCTACCTCAGTCTCCCAAGCTGCTGGTTTTACAGGAATGCGCTGTATTTTCATTTCTAAAGTCTTATGAAATTGAATGGAATTCATTTCATTCTGTCTAAAAGGGCTAATATAACAATGAGATTAATATTGAAATTATTTGAAAGTCTGGGGATGTAGCTTAATGGCAAAATACTTGTCTAGCATATATAATGCCCTGGGTTCCATTCTCCAGCACCATCAAAAAGAAAAAAAAAATGTGTGTGTGTGTGCGTGCGCGCGCGTGTGTGTGTGCGTGTGTGTGTGTGTGTAAACATATAGTATAAAAATTATTGGCTGCTTCTCCCAGAATGTTGATTTTATTTTTGTTCTTCTGTTGATTAGGTAGATGAACTTTTAGAAAAATACATGGACTCTTATGATATAGTTTTGGTAAAAGAAGAATCACTGGAGGTCGCCAACTCTATTTTACAGAAGATTCTATAAACAAGCATTTTTCAAGAAAACGTCTCCCATGGGTGCAAATGATACAAGATTTACTCATCTGTCCATCTAGCTGAAAGACTCTTTATTTATAAATATATTCTTGCTCTTGAAGTTTTCTCTTTACATAACTGAAATATTTTCAGACATGTTGAGTCCATCTCCTGGAAGCTCCTTTCCCCCACCTCTTTCAATACACTCCTCATCATATTTTTTAACCCCTAAAAAAAATGTTGAAGCCAAAATTAGGAAAAACTACCCCCTACTTTTCCAAAGTGAATTTTGTAGCTTAATGTTATCATGCAGTTTTTGAAGAGTCTTTTTACACCAGGAATGTTTATAGATGTTTTTAAAAAGTTTTACGAAATGGTGAAACAATGTGCATGATTTTAAGTATTGCCATTTATATAATTTGGGTGGATTGTGCTAATGGTATCACCATCTCCTTGAAATTGTTATATTTTGTGTGAGAAAACCAATATTTACCAAAAAAGAGTGGCATTTAATATTTGAAAAGACTGTTGGTGGCCATGTGTCACTAATCATCACAAAACATTCAAATGAAGCACTGATAATAAATATGAAATGAAAAGCCTTTTTAATTCTACTGACAAGACTATTTTTATTAATTTATTCAGCAAATATTTATTGAATACCTGTCTTGTTTTTTCCTTTCTTCTTATCTTTCATTTTGTAATATGTGAATCCTAATGCTTTTGTCATAGTGGCTGTTTAGATTGGATATTTTCAATGAGGCCTGCATAAATTATTTTCTCTTATTGAACTCATCAAGAAAAGGCAGTACTTTAAGGCTTTCAGTAACAGCTATAGTGTAGCTGGGTCTCAAAGTATAGCTAAAACTGAGTACTGCAAAGTTAGGACCCACCATTTCTCTATAGTCTGGCTTCCTGTTCTAAATCCTTAGACTTCCATAATTGCCTTTCACAGGTTTTAGACTTGACATTGTGATACATTTGACCCAGACTTTTTTTGGTGGGGGAGTGTACAATAGATTGAACTCAGCAGTGCTTTACCACTAAGCCACATCCTTAGTCCTTATTATTTTTATTTATTTTTTAAATTTTTTCTTAGTTATGGGCTGAGGATATAGCTCAGTTGGTAGAGTGCTTACCTTGTATGCATAAGGCCCTGGGTTCAATCCCTAGCACCACCAAAAAAAAAAAAAATTGAAAAGGGCTGGTGTCGTGGCTCAGGGGTAGAGCGCTCACCTAGTATGTGTGAGGCCCTGGGTTCGATCCTCAGCACCACATAAAAATAAATAAATGAATAAATGTTTAGCAAAAATTCATAGTTGTTGATGGACCTTTATTTCATTTATTTATTTACTTATAAGCTATGCTGAGAATCAAACCCATTGCCTCACACATGCTATGCAAGCACTCTACCACTGAGCCACAACCCCAGCCCACCTTTTTATTTTTTATTTTGAAAAGGGGCTCACAAGTTGCTTAAGCCTTGCTGAATTACTGAGGCTGGCCCGAACTTTTGATCCTCCTGCCTTGGCCTCCCAAGTTGCTGGGATTGCAGGCATATGCCACCATACCCAGTGAAAGGTTTATTTTGGTTCAGTTTTAGAGGCTGAATTAAGTGCCAGTTGGCTCTGCTGGACATCATGGTGGGAGCATGTAACAGCAAAACCATTCATTTTATAGCTAGGAAGGAAAAGAAAAAAGAACCAAACCAAAAAAATACTATAATCATCTTCAAGGGCATGCCCCCAATGACCTGAAGACCTCTCATTAGTCCCCACATCTTAAAATTTCCTTCACCTCTCAATAGTACTAAGGGCTAGAGACCAAAACCTTCAACCTGGACCTTTGGGGGACACTTAAGATCCAAACTAAGATGGGCACAGTAGTTAATGCCTCTAAGGCCAGCCTGGGCAATTTAATAAGCCTTGACTCAAAAATAGCAAGGGCTGGGGATGTAGCTCAGTGTCAGTACCACCCCAAAACTGTGTGTGTGTGTGTGTGTGTGTGTGTATGTGTAGGGGGGGTGTCACATGGAGTTTCCATTCTATGTGGCCCTTTAGCACTTGTAGCCTTTCTGGAAGAGCTATAACTCTAATCCATTCGCAAACATAGGCAGGTGTTGCCACAGCACCATGAAGGGGCCAGCTAGGCAGCTTGCCCTTCCAGGCAGTAGTGGCTGAGATGGCCACAGGCAATTCAATGCCCTCTTTAGCCTCAAGAATAATGGAAGTTAGCAGGCAGCACTCATCTGATCAAGCCCAGACTGCCCCCTCTGCCTCAAGTTGGAAGGCCCACACATCTTCCTCAGGAAAGTTACTTCTGATTCAATCAATCTGTCTCCAGAACAGATTGTGAGCACAATGTACAGAAAACCATGTAGAAAGCTGGGCACAGTGGCACATCCCCACTACTGAGGGAGGATAGCAAAGTAGAGGCCAGCATGGGCAATTTTGGAGACCCTCTCTCAAAATATAAAAAGAACTGGGGAGCCAGGCATGGTGGTACACTCCTGTAATCCCAGCAGCTTGAGAAGCTGAGGCTGGAGGATCAAGAGTTCAAAGACAGCCTCAGCAAAAGCAAGGCGCTAAGCGACTCAGTGAGACCTGTCTCTAAATGAAATACAAAATAGGGCTGGGAATGTGGCTCAGTGGTCAAGTGGCCCAGTACCGAAGGGAATTTAAAAAAGGACTGGGATGCAGCCCCGTGGTAGGGTACTTCTGGGTTCGATCCCCAGTACAAAAAAAAAATTCTTGCTTCTTGCTAAACTGAATTGCTCTCTGGAATGCATTTGATCTACCCTTCATTATCCTTAGGGGTCTGCATTAAATTAAAACAAAACCTAACACTTATTCTCTACCTCCCCCACCCCCAGTACTGGGAACCAAACCCACAGCCTCGTGCATACTAGGCAAGCACTCTGCCACTAAGCTATGCCCCTGATACCCTCCCTCTTTCCTTTTTTAAAAATTTTACTTTTCAAGTTTGTCAAAATGTGCCCTCACACTTGTGATTCTCCTGCCTCAGCCTCCCATGTATCTGGGATTATAGGCTGCACCACTGACTGCTTTTGGCAAGAAGCAAGATTATTAACCTATCTAATGAATTTTAAGGAATACTGTTAAATGAAAAGCTGAGCAACTGTGACTAGGTGAAAGAGGGCTTAGGAACACTAGTGCCCAAAGCCACTGCAGCCAGGAAGGCCATGGCAACTTCCCAGAAATTACTTTTGCAAAGAGTAAACAGTAACATTTCCTTTTTAAAAACAGTATTTATTCCATTGAACGAGTGCATAGCATTTTCATGAACTATCTCAGGACTACATCAGTACAAAACAGTTTAAATTAGTAAAATAAAGCAGTTTCAAAAGGAAAATCATCGATTACTTCAGGGTAAGTGCCAATACCAACCTGGGAAGAGAGGATATTAGGCAGCAATGTGGTTAGGTTACTGCATGATGCGGGGAAGAGGCTGGCAGGTACACTGTCACTGCTTTCCTATGGCAGAAGCATAGGACTACCCTCTCCAGGACACAAATGAGCAGCAGAAAAATGTCACCTTATTTATGCTCATCTGCCGGGATGACACTTGAACCTCAGCCGCAGTGAAATTGGGGTGACTGGCCAGTGAGGCCACTAGCCCTATGTGCATCTATCTAAGCAACAGCGCTGGAGGTGGGGGAGTGCTTTACTGAATATCAAGAGCTGGCCACCAGGTAATTCTACACAGCAGATGGAGAACCAAATTCTCTGCATGCTCTGAGACAACCTTCATTTGGTCCTCTGCTTTTTACTTTTGTCCTGGAGGCTTTTTTTTTTTTTTTTTATCCTAAAAGTTACCTACTAGTTGGAGGACCAATGCAGGTAGAAGGTGATGAACTGAAAAAACAATTGGGGGATTTTTTGAAGGGAAAGGCAGACCTCTGAGAACAGCTCCGGGTTGCTGTCTGAGAATCCTGCTGGGGCATGATGTCCTTTGTCTCTCCTGCCCATGTACAAAACATTTTTAAGACACCAGCAAGTTAAAAAAAATTTTTTTAATCTCTTTAGGTAGGCACCTGGACACCACTTCTCCTATTCCCTCCAAGGTGTTTATAACTTCTACATATTATTTGCCTTTAATTACAAAATTTCCTAGAAGGCTCACAAATCACAGTTGGCAGTACAGCCCTTCCAATCCTTCGATACATATCATGCCAAGGCCTTCTATACCGATTTTGTCTTCCCTCACTGAAAGTCCACCCCAAATTCTCACATGTGTATCAACCCACCCCGATGTATGTACCAGGTACTGTGTCACCCACCTACTACTTGCTAATGATAGACCTTCCTAGAGACCCTCACACCCTCACCGCAGGTTCTGCCACAACAGGTGGCTTGGTGTCACACACTCCCTGGCACCAGCTGGCTCATGTCAGGTTTAGAGTTCGTCGTGTTTGGTCTCCTGGTCTTTAAGTTTAAACTCCTCAGCCACGACCTTCCCATCTCCATTCCGGTCCTGATTGGTGAACATATTCTTCACGATCATTTCAGCATCAAAACCAGGAGCGAGCTTCCCTTTGCCAGTTGCCACCTGGGCATGAATGTACTCTGAGAACTGAAGAGAAAGGGATAGGACGACATGAGATGTGGGAGCCAAGAATGCAGAGTCTGAAATACAGCACCTGAGGGTGGTGGGGCTGGGACTGGGGTCTGAACTTGGAAACTGATGAGAGCTTCTGGGGGACTAAATGATCAGGTTTTGTTTTTCTCCTGGTGCAGGTGAAAACCCCTGGGCTAAATGACCACAAGAGCCCCTTGGGTCCAGATAGCCAACATAAAGCAGTCACCAGGGCAGTCCCTCTCCCCACTTAAGTGGCCCACTTGAAGCTGTCTCCCAACCCTGTAAGAACACTGCTGTATGCACACATACCATGCATGCATTCACACAGTAAGAACTTACTGAGCATCTACCATGTACCAAGCATTGTACTAGACCCTTGGGCTACATCAACACACAAATCAACAAACATCTTGCCTTTATTATGCTTGTTTTCTAGTGGGGGGGGGGAATTGATAATTAATCAGGAACATAATCAGTAAATTACACATTAAGTTACAAAGTGGAATGCTCCAGAAAAAAAAAAAAAAGTGAAATCTAGCCAAGGATGGGAAGGGAGAGTGGGTTAAAGTATTCAGTCTGGTAGTCAGGGTAAAACCTCAGTCTTCAGGGAAGACTTGGGCAAAGGCTTGAAGGAAGTGAGGGAATGAACCAAACTGTTATCTATCTGCATCTTCTGAGCAGAGGACGGTGTGGGCAAAGCCCCAGGTGTATTCACAGAACAGCAAAGGAGGCATGTGGCTGGGCCAAGTGAACAGAGGGAGGGGAGTGGCAGGGAGGTGCCAGTGAGCAGATGAGGGCCTCCAAGGCCTTGGAGATGGGGGCTCTGTAGGTTCTGAGAAGCAGCAGCCATGACTACAGTGTTCTTGGGAGTGGCCACTCAGGCTGCTGTAGGGGTGAGAGCAGGAGCATCGTTAAGAGGCTGTTGCCATGATCCTGGGAGGGTAGATGATGGTTCAGACTAAGATGCTATGAAAGGGAAGTGGTGGGAGAGTCAGTCTCTGTATGTCCTCAAGGC